AGTAAATCAATTATAATTTAGTAGTTAATCATCAAAATTAAAAAGTAAATCAACATAATTTAGTAGTAAATCATTGATAACTTGATAGTTAATAAGAGATAATTTAATAGTAAACATGCATAATTTAATTTAAATCAGTAATAATTTGGTAATGAATCATAAATAATTTAGTAAGTAATCAATGATAATTTTGTAGTAAATAATTGAAAATTAAGTAGTAAATCAATAATGTTAGCCTTGAATTGATCTTTGTTTTGAATGACAAAACATTAAGCTAAATAAGCATGATCAAGATTTTAAAAAAGATTTATTTAGTATATATTCTTAAGTTTTATATTTTGATACTAAATAAATAATATATTTTTCAAAGTATAAACAAACCTTTCTTTATTTTCATATTTCTTAAACCAAATATATCTTTAAAGATTATTTATTTAAGCTTAAATGAAAGTCCAATTGTTATTTTTAAAGTAAACTTATTCATTTTGGACTTAATACAATTTTGATAATATTAGTTTTGATAAATAGATTAACTTAAGAAAGTTGTTTTACAATAATAAAATTTTTCAATATTGAATTTGTTATATTTTTTTGTATTAATTCACAAAGCTTTAATATTTGAATTTTATATAGTTGGAAAGCTATTTGAGTCTACTTTTTAATGGATTAAACAAAATCAAAATTCAAATTTTTTAAGAAAAGATTTTAAATTTTTACTAGACACTTTGTAATTGTCTAAAAACTACATAAGAGATAGATTTGAAAATTCATTATAATTTGTATACAATGAATTAGGTGATGAATTTTATTTGGATAAAAAGCATTTTAAGTCTAGTTTCTAAATCTTTAAACGATTTTTAATTTGGATTTGTATAACTCAAGATATGATAAATTAATTAGTAGAGTGCAAAATAGGAGAAACCACCTTGTTGGATAGGATCGATCTCTTAAAAAAAAGATCGATTGGTTATTTATCTAGAATAAAAATTTTGCTCTAAGATTTAAAAATGGATAGATCACTCAGACTAAGAGATCGATCATTTAAAAAAGGGATTGATTGGTACCAAAAAAGGGATCGATTCCTTGCCCAAAAACATCTCCTGTGGCTAGTTTATCAAGCTTCAACGACTATTTTCTTCTTTCAAACCATCGCCAACGGCTAGTTCTTCAATTTCTCTATATATTGATTATTTGAATATACTAAGAAGATTGATGAATCAAGAGAGTAAGAGCTAACAAGTTATATTTTTATTTTCTCAAAGAATCAAGAGTTGTTAGAGCTTAAAATATATTTCTTTTGTATTTGTTGTATCCAAGCTATATTTGTTGTTCATTCATCATTTCTTTGTACTTAAACTTCGTAAACACTTAGCTTTCGAGAAGTTTTTTAAATTTGTATTTTTATTAAGTGATTTCGTAATCAAGAGGTGAGATATCCTCTTGAATTTGTGAGATTGAGAGGTTGCTACTTAACTTAAAAAGTAGAGAATGTTAGGTTACTATCTAAGCCTTAAGAAAAAGATAGAGTTGTAATTTCAATTCAAAAATATTGGATTGAAGTCTTGGTGTGGATAACCAAGAAAATAAGACGTAGATGCCTTATGAAGATAGATCAAGTCTTTATAAAATTTTGTGTTTGATTTTTCTATCTCTATCTTTTTATTTTCATTGTTGAATATATATATTTGATATATCAATTGTTGTCATTTACATCATATTTTTATATTGATTTTAATTTTTCATTCAATTATTTTGAAATCATTATTCGAGAAGAACTTGAAGAAATCCAATTCACCTCCCATTGGATTACTATCTCACCTAAAAAACTAACAAATGATAATATAGTAGTAAATATATAAAAATATAATAGTAAATCATTGATAATTTAGTAGTAAATTAATAACGTAGTAGTAAATCACTAATGATATAATAGTAAATTATTAATAATTTAATTGTAAATCAATGATAATTTAATAGTAAATTACTTAAATTATTGATAACTTTTTAGTAAATTATCAATAAGTTAGTAATAAATCAGCTATAAATTTATGATAAATCATTAATAACTTAGTGGTAAATCACCAACAATTTAATAAAAAATATTCATAACCTAAGGTAAATTAGTCATAAATTAATAACAAATCTTTGATAATTTAATAGTAAATCATTGATAACTTATAGTAAATCATTGATAATTTAATTGTCAATTATTGATGATTTTTTTTATACTTGAAGTTGTCAGAAATTAGACTCTAGTTACTAATAAAAACGAAGTCAAAACTTTTATTTTAGGATTAAGATAAATCTAACATGAACTTATTCGATAAAAAATTAGTAAAAATTTTTAAATTTGAATAATAGAATAATGTTATTACATAAAAAAAAATTATCTCATATAATATTAGTAGTCTTTTTAAATTCTATTTTTCATAGTAAGTGCATAACAAAATATTAGCAAATTAATGATAGGTTAATAGGAAACAAGTGATAATTTAATAGTTAATCATTTATAATTTAATAATAAATTGATGATAATTTAATAGTAAATTAGAAATAACTTAATCGTAAATATGTTTCAGTTTAATAGTAATTAATTAATAAATTTAGTAATAAATTATGAATAACTTAATAGTAATTAATAATAATTTATTAGTTAATTATTGAAAATTTAAAAGTAAATTAATATAACTTAGTAGTAATAAATTATTGATTAGTAATAGTAAATTATTGATAATTTAATAATAATTCATGGATAATTTAATATATATTAGTGATAACTTGGTAATGGATCATGGTTAATTCAATAATAAATTTGTGATAATTTTGTAGTAGATGATAAAAAATTAAGTCGTAAATAAATGATAACATAGTAGTAAATGAATAATAACATAATACTAAATCATTGATAATTTAGATGTAAATTATTGATAACTTTGTAATAAATTAATAACAACTTAGTTGTAAATCAATAGTAAAATAGCTTAGTTGCAAATCGATGATAATTTAATTATAAATCAGTGATAATTTTATAGTAACATAGTTAATAATTGATAACTTTATAGCAAATTATCAATAAATTAATAATAAATCAATTATAACTTTATGATAAATCACCAGTAACTTAATTATAAATAATCAATAATTTATTAGTAAATCATTCATAACTTAGTATTAAATTATTCATAAATTAGTAATACTTCAATGCTAATTTAGTAATAAATTACTGATAATTTGTAGTTTATAATTGATAGTTTAGTAGTAAATCATTGATAAAATAATACTAAATTAATAATAACTTAATTGTTAATTATTAATAAATTTTTTATACTTGAAGTTGTTAAGAATTAAATCTTGGTTACTAGCAAAAACAAAATTATAAATTTCATCTTAGGAGGTTAGGATAAATCTACCATGAATCTATTTAATAAAAATTTTAGTTAAAAATTTTAAATTTGAATAAAACAATAATATTACTATATCAAAAAATTATCTTATACTAGAATTGAATCCTCATTTTTTTATGAGAATTTATTGTTAAATATATGATTATACATATTTTATCAATAATTACCAAAAGTATATGATAAGTTACCAAAAAATTACTAAAATTACATTAAGAGATTACCAAAATTTTATAAAAAATTATCAAAATTTATCAATGGTTACCAAAATTATATCAAAAGTTACCAAACTAATATTAAAGGTTATTAAAAGTGTATCAAATGTTACCAAAATTTTATCAAAATCAAAATTATATCAAAAGTTATCAAATTTTATTTATAGTATAATAATACAAATTAAATTGTTAATATTTTTCATTATTATCAAAAAATATATCGAAAGTTATCAAATTTTACTTATATTATATCAAAATCAAAATTAAATGGTTAATATTTATTATTATTATCATAATATCAAAAAATTTATTTATTGAGATAAATTTTTAAAGATAAAGTTCACACATTCCTAAAACTAGTAATAAGAAAAACTCCATGTATGGGTTGCCTTCAATCCCTTTCTTGAATTTGGAAAGTAGAAAATGATCAAGTTTCAATATAGTAGCTGAGGTATAAGGGTTTGCTTCAGGCGACAACAATAAATCAGGCGGAATAAAAGCAAAATATGTTATCATCTCACCAATCAAAATTTAACCCAAACCAAATAAATATATAGATATATATTAGCTGATTGATATGTCCAAAGAATAAATCCCAAGCATGTTTAAAAGCTTGCCTTCAGCTTCTTGGTCTTGGTTTAATGAATGACAAAGAGACATTAAAGAAGATGCTGGCCTTCGAGCCAAACCATCTAAAGAAGGCATGGATGCTTGGGTTTGAACCAAGCCATCCCCATCCCCATTCTGATCCCCATCTATCAAATTCCATAAACCAAAGAAATTTAAACAATGCTAAATATAAGGAAGGATAATGGAAATTAGATAATAAAAAAATTTCATTCACAATTCATGTCTTCCTTGCATATTCAATTCCAGCCAACAAATTACTACTGCAAGGAAGAGAATAATCTATAAGGAGTCTGGTCAATCAAGAGCCCACACAAACAAAAAAATTAATAATGTAACTAAACAACCAAAGACCAAAACAGCATGGTAACCACATACTGTGCCAGCCCCCTAGAGCAACACTCAGCAAGGTGGCACCCTCGAAACTTTCAGCAGCCCTAACACTATAGGTCAGCAACAGTAAAAAAAAAAAAACATCAAGTTCAAACAGATAAAAAAACAGAGGCAAAATGAACATCTGATTTCCATGTGATCCTAATATTTACTCGAGGAAATATTTTACACAAGCCGATTAAAATACATTCAGCCACCCAGCCACCCACCCTACATTTGGATTTTTTTGAGGAGACATACAAAATATTGTCAATTCTTGTTCATAGAATAGTGACTTAAGTTTAGTTCCCAATGACAAACACCTTACAACCTCGCATTCGCTACAATTACTATATGCAAGATGCATAAGTTGCAACCATTCACGTTATCTAGGGCCAGAGATTTGTTGTGAAGAGACGTAAGAAAGGCAAGTATTTGAACCAGTTGTACTACTATGAGAAGCATTTGCTTGTTGGAATAGTATGAAATCACTTTGCCCACTTTGATCTTCTATCATCGAAGCCTCAGTAAATCTGCGGCCATAAAAGCGCAAAAAATTCAAGGATTCCAATCTTGGCTGGCCTAAGGGAAGCCCACCTTCCAACACCCCAACAACAGTGGCCATACTCGGCCTTAGTGCTGGCTCCTCGTGAACACAACACAAAGCAACACGGACTAACTTCTCCACCTCCTTATTTGTTATCCGCCCCTCAAGTCTTGGATCTGCAAGCTCCAAGTATCTACCTTGTTCATGCATCTCTAGTGCAAATAGTGGAAAGTAAACCAATCCCGTCACTGATGAGGATGACGAGTTGCCTCCACCACTGTTAGTATCATCCATGCTAAGACTTTGTGATTTCGTTGAGCAATTTTTCCTCCCACTCACTAATTCAAGCAGTACCATTCCAAAACTATAAACATCAGTTTTTTCAGAAATCGCAGAGTTAGTGAGCCATTCAGGTGCAAGATAGCCACGAGTGCCTCTCATTGTTGTGAACAGACCGGATTGTTCAGGGCTTAGAAGCTTTGAGAGCCCAAAATCAGAGATCTTTGCCTGAAAATGATCATGCAAGAGAATATTTTCAGGTTTGACATCACAATGAATGATCTTATGTTCACAGCCGCTATGCAAGTATGCAAGGCCACGAGCAATTCCAAGTGCTATATCAAATCTCGCTTGCCACTCTAAGACAGGCCCACTGCCAAAGAGGGTTCTGTCCAATGAGCCCTGGTTCATATACTCGTACACCAAAAAGCGTTGTCTCCCTTGGGCACAAAATCCTCTCAATTTGACCAGATTGACATGGTGAATATTTCCAATTACTGCAATTTCTGTACAGAATTCTTTTTTCCCATGGATGCCTGGATTTGTTATCTTCTTGACTGCCACAACAGTTTTATCAGGAAGTGTACCTCTGTATACAGCACCAAACCCACCCGATCCTATTAGGGTCTTAAAATTATCAGTAGCCACCTCAAGTTCTTCATGATCAAACTTTTGTGGCAAGCCGGGAATGTAGAAGTCATCCAGATCTCCTGAAGACAATGAGTTCAGGTGGCCTAATTTTTGCTCTCCAGCTTTATTGAGTATCCATCTTTTCCACCAGAGGAAAACTAGAGCAGCTAACAGGAAAAACCCCGTGGAAGGTAAAAGCACAACAGCAGCTATGGGAAACTGTTTCCCTTGATTGCTAAAACTATTGTTACCATCGGAATCTGTAGAAGTAGGTCCAACAAGTACTTTAACATAGACCTGAAGATCATTTTCAACTGTATTGCTCAATATAATGGAGCCTAAGTCATTTTCAAGCACATAGCAAGAGCCAGAAGAATTGTCGTAGAAAATTCCCAAGCAAGCACAGTACCCCAAGCATAAATCTTGACAAACTGAAGAATTTACACCATATCTTACAGGCCGAGAGAAATCGAGAGAAAAATAATCCATACCAGATCCCAGTCTCAGATATGAAACAGCGGAAGAATTTGACTCACTGACATTAATGGTTGAATCACAAGCAGTAGGTAGAGAATAAGAAGGGTTATTTGGCAAACAACCACCAATATTTTGTGAAGCTGAATGGAAATCAGATGGACATGAACAAGTGGGGGCATTTGACGTAGAGTCAATCGTACATAATCCCATTTTGCCACAGCTGGTTGGAATTTGACAACCATCAATTGGCCCAACAAATTCCTGGACCCATTCACCACCAGAAAAACTACGTACAGTAAACTGACCCGAAAAATCCAAATTGGCAATCCGGAAGTTGGTCGGCAACAAGTTAACCTGAATTATAACAACTGATCCGTTACGACCAAAGAGATAAAGGCCTGTTTTGTTTATTGCCATATACTCAACTACATAATCAGAATTCATATAGGCCTTGGTATCCATTGTCAGCTTCCAATATACCTGTCCATACCATTGTAATATTGCATCAGAAGCAGCAACCATGAATCTGTAATCACCAGTTGACAAGTTACTTCCTGATACAGCACTTGACAGATTTGCCCCAACTGGAAGCTGTTGTCCTATCACAATTGTATCTGTTGGATAGTGGAAGCTCTCCCAAAGAGAACGATTAAATTGATCAAGTAGAACAAGATTACCCATCTCTGTCAGCAGTAATGCATAAACTGTTGCTTGTAATTGTGGAGTTGACCATTTGAGATTACCAGCTGGATCAGCAATGCTAATTCCATTGTTAGTGAGATCCATATTACCAGAGTCGGAGATAGGAGAATCACGATTAGCTGACCAGATGATGGTGTTGGATTCAACATGTATGACGGACAAGTAAAAGTTGGTTTGAGCTTCAGGATTGTAGATAGCAGCTTTGAATGTTTCATTCTTAGAGAACAAGAATGCCCCATCTTTGTCGATAAATTGAAAGTATGAAGCACTGAAATTTGGGTAGATAAATTCTGAGAAAGAAATCCCAGAGACAGAAGGATAGAAGAGAAAACCAATGATAAAGAACAAGAAGGATCCCATAGAGGTGTAGAAAAGAACAAGGAGTCCGTAACAATGGAGGACTTGTCTGTGAGGCTGGAATATGTCTGCCTTGGTTTTCTGCTTTTTTTTTTTCTTCATTGCCGGTGCTCAGTACACGTTGACCAAGGAAGCTCTCTCTCTCTCTCACTTTCTCTCTCTACATGTTTAAATCCTGATTGGTAGAAGTAAATCATTTCACCGATGCTAACATCAGCTTGGGACTTAAGACAATTCCAGCGCTGGTCAAACCTGAGGAAGTTTTTATCTATTCTAATTAATCGGATAGGTGTTCCCATGCAATGAAGCCACCTTTCTCACCTATATTATTCCTTCTAAACACCTTCCGTCCTTTTTTTAGTGTAATATGCGGTTGTGTAGGTATATAAAATTTCCATAAAATAAAATAAAATAATATTATAAATTAAATTAAATAATATTATTTTATTATATATTTAATATATGTAAAAAATAAAATAAAATAATTTTATTTATAGATCAAAATTATTTTTTTAAATTTATATAACTTAAATATATGATATAAATTTTATGAGTATAATATAATATAATTTAATTTTATAATTAAAAATAATTTTTTTATTTTAAAAAAATGAATCATTTTATAGCAAAAAAATTATTAATCTTTTTCACGATCTTCTCTCTATCTTAAGATATAAATTAAATATAATATAAAATAATTATTATTTATTTTAAATAGCACAACAGGAGCTATCCTACCAAGTAAATGCTTACTTTCCAGTCTGTCCTAACTAGCTTCTTCTTTATTCCAAAATCATGGATGTGGCCTGCAGTAGTACACTTCATAAGTCCCTCAGTACCTATATTCTATTCACTCTCAAGTCTCAATAATTAATCAAACTCTTGTCACCAAGGCGACGCTTCAACGATTAAAACTTCAAACTTTAAACTATGAAATAGCATATTCAATCTTGCAAAAGGTGTAAACTTTTATAAGAAAGGAGAAAGTTAACTTGGAGCATGTAGCCCTAGTCAAATGCGCTTTCGGCCCTTCACATGGACCAAAATTTAGTAAGGAAGGCAAAAGATAAATTCAAAGAAACATCGCCTACTATTTTAAAAGTGAATAAACAAATAAAAAATACCAAATTTATTTAAAAAAAAAAAAAATGCACTAACCTGCTGAGTTATGATGCTACCTTCCCCAAGTGCCCAAAGCGACAAAACAGCACGATGATCGGTCCCAACTGGATCGACTCCAAAATGTCCAAACAAGCGACGGTCCTCATAAACAACGATATGGCTTCCATATATGTTTAGGATAAGCTTTGGTCTGAGCTTCAGCTTCATGTGAGAAAGCGATGAGGTTCTGCCAACGAAGAGGGAAATCGGGCAAAAGGGCATTGGAGAAAAGACGAAAACATAGAAGGGTCAATGAGAAAGCGAGGAGAGGAGTAGTTCTTGACTGGGGTGATGGGTCTGAGTGGAGAAGGATTTTAGGTGGAGTGAGTTGACTCGTTGGGAAAGCAGCTAGTCGGAGTGAGTAGGAGATTTCAGAGAGTAGAAAATCAGGGTTTTACTGAAGAGATTTTGCGGAAAAATTGGGGTTTCACTCAGAATCAAGCTGTGAGTAACAAAAGCAGCTAAGCACTTTTTTCCTGGTTCGTTGATTGGGTAATAAAATTGTTAATTTGGTTGAAGCAACGGTCATAAACAGTTAAACTTAAGAGTATTTGGCGGGATTGAGCAAAAGCGCCAATGCCAAGAGTTTCTCTCTTCATAATTTTTCTTTTTTTTTTTTTACCATTAGTTTTTATTTGTTTATTTTGTCTGAGAAAGAAAATACAAAGGTAAAAAATTAATAAATCCTGCCTTTATGTGACTTTTTAAAAAATATATATTTTTAATATTTCACCTATAATTATTGTAGTATAATTAATCAATTATAATTTAAAATTATACAAAATTCACAAAAATAAAAAGCATTTGAATCACAATTTAAAATTATATGAAATCCATTTTAATTTTATATAAAGCCTATGTTTATAAGTGATGGATCCTTATATAATTGTTTATTATTATAATTAAACAATTGTAATATTGTAAAAAAAAAATTATAAATGATATGATCACTTTATGTGAAGCCTGCTCATAAATAATGAAATTCTATATAATTTTTTATTATAATTAGATAATTATAGAATTATAGTAAAAAAATTATAGCTGACATACTCCTTTTCTTTTGATAATTTTTTTTTCTTTGGTGCCTCAAGCTTGAATTCATTGAAAGATTAGAAAAGAATAAATTTTTATAAATTTATTAGGTTTGATATAAATAAATTTATTTGAATTAACATAAAAATAAAATGTAATTAATGAAATTTAAAAACCTTTTACCGTTAAAAAAAAGTTGTAAAAAAGATACAATTAATAGCAGGTAAGATCATGTTGTATATCTTATCATATGGTGAAATTAATTTTGAAATTTCAATGGTTATAAAACATTTAATAAAATTAATTTGATTAATCAAGGGTTTGATCATTGTGGGCATGTTTAAATCATCACTTTGGTACTAGACTTCTTTTGGTGATTAAAATATATTTTGCAATTATTTGTTTAACAAATTATATGAGCAATGGTTCCATTTAAATTTGTGAAATTTACCATATATTTTTTATGTGAAATTATTTAATAAATCACAGTTATTATTCATAATAATATAATATATTCATATAATCTTAATTAATTTTGATTTTAGTACGTAATTATCTACTAAACTTAAAAATTTGTTGTTCGTAGTAATATTATCAAAAGCATTTTACCTATAATTTTACATCTGTCTAATCATAATAAAAAATTATATAGAGATTCAACACTTATAAATATGAATTTTACATAATATTTTAATAAATCCTATATAATTTTAAATTCTAATGATCAATTGTAATATAATTATTATAAGTGCTATGCTTCTTATCACATTAAATTAATTAAGTTTTGATTCCTACAAACTATAATTTATAAGATGCTTACCTGTATTTTTTTTTTAATGAATACCATAGTCCAAGGAGAAATAATTACAATCATTCTCAAGATTACATGTAGGAAATCAATAAATTAAATCAAATAGATAAATTAATCAATGAATTAACATATAATTGAATAATTTTAATATAAAATTGAATAAAATCCAAATATAATGAGATTAAACTTGAGATGTTCCCAATACAAAGACATCCTCGAACTTAAAATTTAATTTAATTAATTTAAATAATTATTTTTAAAAATATTATTTAATAAATTTAAAATTCAGATATAGCATTTAGAAAAAAATTTTAATCTTAAATTATGACTTTTTTTAATAAAAAAATTACTGATTATTATATATCCTAAAAATAGGGACAGTTGGCGAGTAGAGATTGCTTCGATTGCCAACCAGCCTACATTTTTTATTTTGGCCTGCCGAAGGTGCAAAGGCTCAATCCAACTCTTCGATCGAGTGTCGACCACCCAACAGCACGTTGTTCCATTCGATGATTATATAAATTTAGAGACCTCTTGAGATGCATGAATCTTCGAGGGTTCTTCGGCCTGCATGCCCAGAATCCCACCATAGCTGGTGGCGACAACTAGGATTCATCCCCCTTGTTTTTGTCGACCCATCTGTTGAAATTGAATGTAAATTATTTTGGCATGTTCTCTTTCTCCACGAGTTTGCATGTTTCAAATTTTTTTTAGTTATTTCATTATTTATTGTTTTCTTGTTGAGACGCATTATCAATACGACTCTAGCAGTCCTTCAATGGGCCTTTTGGGCAACTTTGGACATGACACAATTTTGGGACCTGATTATATTATTATTATTATTATTATTATACAAATAAATAAATTGAATTTAGAATTTAATTTAATTTATTTATATAATTTTTTTAAAAAATAATATTTAATTTATTTGAAAATTTTTAATCATTAAATTATGATTTTTTTGAAAAAATTGATTTTATCTTTTAACTAGTGTTCAATTTTCAAATTTAAAAACTTGTTATATAAGAATGAGAAATTACTGGATATATAATAAATAGGTGTTTAATTCTTTTTCTTTTTCTTTCTTTCATCATTCATTCAAAAATTATGTCGTTGAAATCTTGCCAAATTGCCAATCATATTTGTTTCACCTAATTGTTGAATGAATAACATCAACTTTTATATTTATCTAGTCAGTATATGCTTGATTGTCACGTCACCGTTAAAAATGATCGATACATAGACTCTCATCATGATACAAATTCGCTTCTACTTACTCGCCTACCAAGATTTTTTCATCCATAAAAAGAGTTTCTCCGACTACCCCTCCACTAACATTCTATCAATGTATCACTTCGTAACATATTAATTGTCTCTAACTTGTTTGATCTCATTAAATACAGCTTAAGTTTATATATGATCATTAAATATAACCCACGCTCACCCATGTGGATGGTGAATCCTGAGCTCCATATAAATTTTTCATAAACTATCACCAACTCTAATCACATCATTATCTATTTTCTCATATATAAAATAAAAAGAATACCTAAATACACATTATGAACTATTCTTCTTTAAGCTTCTTCCATACTTTTTGTGGCCTACCTTCTTCATTCAAGAAACATTAACAATCAATTAACTTAAGCATTGAAACGCATCTTAAAGAATGATATCCGGCGTCCCTCATCGTGGTTTTTTATCGTAGATCCAACTAAATTTACGAACCAGCTCACCACCTCCATAAAATCACCATCAACAATATTATTTAATACTATCAATGACTTTTGCATGTCAAATGAAATATTCCACGAGATATATAGTATATGTTTAATAAGCTTATAATCAAAACTTCGTGATCAATGAACATGACTCCTAGAATTCTATGACAAGTAAAAAGTCGAATCCAGATTTCAATACAATAAGTAAAAGATTGAATCAGTCTAACCATTAATTTTTTTTAATAACAAATTTTAAAATTTTTTTCTAACTTTTGTATTTCAAACTTTTCCATATGAGCAGTAACAAACAAGAAAACAAAATGTTTCCCTAGGAACCGTCCACTATGACTTTGTCCAAATATAGAGTAACAACATTCAAAATTTAATTCACAATAATAAAGGTGTAAGTGATAACAGTTTAATAACAAGAAGTTTTTAATTAATTAAAAAAATATATTGCTATCTGAAAATAAATAAAAAAAATATGTGTTAGAGATTGAATCTAAAATGTATTAAATTCCAGGCTCGTAATTTTTAAAAAATT